TTTGGGGGTTTGGGGGGAAAATTTGGGGGTTTGGGGGAAATTTGGGGGCAAAATGTGGGATTTTTGGGATGGAATTCAGGATTTTTCAGGGGAAATTTGGGGGTTTTGGGGGAAATTTGGGGGGTTTGGGGGGAAATTTGGGGGCAAAATGTGGGATTTTTGGGATGGAATTCAGGATTTTTCAGGGGAAATTTGGGGCTTATAGGGGGAAAATTTGGGGGTTTTGGGACAAAATTTGGGGATTTTGAGATGAAATTCAGGATTTTTCGGGCAGAAGTTGGGAGTTTCTGGAGAAAATTTGGGGGTTTAGGGAGAAAATTTGGGGGGTTTTGGGCAAAATTGGGGAGTTTGAGGAGAAAATTTGGGAGTTTCTGGAGAAAATTTGGGGGCTTTAGGGCGAAATTTGTGGGGTTTGGGGAGAAAATTTGGGAGTTTGGAGGCGAAATTTGGGATTTTTGGGATGAAATTCAGGATTTTTCAGGTAAAATTTGGGGGGTTTAGGGGAAAATTTGGGGATTTTGGGGTGAAAATTTGGGATTTTCGGGCGAAATTTGGGGGTTTCTGGAGAAAATTTGGGGGTTTTGGGGTAAAATTTGGAGGTTTTGGGGCAAAATTTGGGGATTTTCAGTAGAAATTTGGGGGGTTTTGGATGAAATTTTGGAATTTTGGGGTGAAATTTGGGGGTTTTGGGGCCAAAATTTGGGAATTTGGGGCCAAAATTTGGGATTTTTCCATCTAAATTTGGGGTTCCTGGGGAGAAAATTTGGGATTTTTCGGGCAAAATTTGGGATTCTCTAAAATTCCCCAATTTCCCCGTTTTTGCCCAAAATTTTGGGTTTTTTTTTCAGCCCCTCCCCCGCTCGCTGCTCCCGGACGTCCTCGAGGCGCTGCAGGAGCTGCTGGGCCTGGACGAGGTGAGGAAAAATTGGGGGAAATTCCGGCAATTTTGGGAAAATTTGGGAATTTGGGCAAAATTTGGGGTGAAAATAGGAAAAAAAATGGGAAAATTTGGGCGGAAATTGAGGGAATTTGGGGTGAAATGGGGAAATTTTGGGGTGAATTTTGGGGATTTTTTGGGGTGAGTTTTGGGTGAATTTTGGGGTGAATTTTGGGAAATCTGGGAAAATTTGGGGGGAAAAATTGAGGTGAAAATAGGAGAAAATTGGGGAAATTTGGGCTGAATTGGGGAAATTTTGGGGTGAATTTTGGAGATTTTTTGGCTGGATTTTGGGAAATTTGGAAAATCTGGGAAAATTTGGGGTGAAAATAGGAAAAAAATTGGGAAAATTTGGGCAGAAATCGGGGAAATTTTGGGGTGAATTTGGGACATTTTGGGGAAATTTTGGTTGAAGTTTGGGAATTTTTGGGGTGAATTTTGGGGATTTTGGGGTGAATTTTGGGGTGGATTTTGGGGATTTTTGGGTTGAATTTTGCGGTGAATTTGGGGAAATTTGAGGAATTTTGGGAAATTTGGGGTTAAAATAGGAAAAAAATTGGGAAAATTTGGGCTGAAATTGAGGAAATTTGGGACATTTTGGGGTGAATTCAGGGGATTTTAGGGTGAATTTTGAGAAATTCGGGAAAATTTGGGTTGAAAATAGGAAAAAAATTGGGAACATTTGGGAAGAATTTGGAGCAAAATTGAAAAAAAAAATTGAAAATTTGGGGATGAATTTTGGGGAAATTTGGGATGAAAACGGGAAAAAGTTGGGAAAATTTGGGCTGAAATTGGGGAAATTTTGGGGTGAATTTGGGACATTTTTGGGGGAAATGTTGGGGTGAATTTAGGAAATTTTTGGGGTGAATTTGGGACATTTTTGGGGTTAATTTTTGGGTTAAATTTGGAACATTTGTGGGCTTAATTTTGGGGTGAGTTTGAGACATTTTGGGTGAGTTTGGGACATTTGTGGGCTTAATTTTGGGGTGAATTTGGGACATTTTTGGGGTTAATTTTTGGGTTAAATTTGGCACATTTTGGGGTGAATTTTGGGGTGAATTTGGGACATTTTGGGCTGAATTTTGGGGTGAATTTGGGACAATTCGGGCTGAATTTCTGGCTGCAATTTGGGGTGAATTTGGGACATTTTGGGGTGAATTTTGGGGTGAATTTGGGACATTTCTGGGCTTAATTTTGGGGTGAATTTGGCACATTTTGGGGTTAATTTTGGGGTGAATTTGGGACATTTTGGGCTGAAATTTGGGATGAATTTGGGAAATTCCCGTCCAGGATCACGGCGCCGACGCCCTGGAGGTGCTGGATGAATTCCTGGAATCCCATCCCGAATCTGTGATCCCTCACCTGCGGCCCCTGCTGGAGCTCTGCCTCCAGGTGAGCCCCAAAATCTTCATTTCCGCCCAAAATTTGGGAATTTTTGGGCAAAAATTGGGATTTTTCCACCCAAAAATGTTGGTGACACCAGGTCTACCCATTAAAGTCAATGGGGATTTTGTGACACCAGGTCTACCCATTAAAGTCAATGGGGATTTTGGGACACCAGGTCTACCCATTAAACCCAATGGGGATTTGCGGACACCAGGTCTACCCCATTAAAGTCAATGGGGATTTTTGTGACACCAGGTCTACCCATTAAACCCAATGGGGTTTAAAGGACACCAGGTCTACCCCATTAAAGTCAATGGGGATTTGCGGACACCAGGTCTACCCATTAAAGTCAATGGGGATTTTGGGATACCAGGTCTACCCATTAAAGTCAATGGGGATTTCCGGACACCAGGTCTACCCATTAAAGTCAATGGGGATTTGCGGACACCAGGTCTACCCATTAAACCCAATGGGGATTTTGGGGCAATTCCCAGAGTTTTTGGGGAAATTCCCGGAATTTTTTCGGGAATTCCCAGGATTTTGGGAATTCCTGGGATGTTTGGGAATTCCTGCCCCTCCCCTGGAGGATTTTTGGGAATGTTCAGGCGGGATTTGTCCCCTCAGGTGGCTGGGGACGAGTGCAGGGGCGACGCCGTCAGGGTCCGGGCCTTGGCCACGCTGACGTTCCTGGCCCAGAAGAGACCCAGGGTGAGACTGGTTTATACTGGTTTGTACTGGTTTGTACTGGGAGGGCACTGGGAGGGAACTGGGATGGCCTGGGAGGGGATTTGAGGCGGTTTTGTGGGGCAAAACCAGTCAAAAATGGGAAAAAATCGGGTTTAAAAGGGATTTGTTATACTGGTTTGATACTGGTTTATACTGGTTTGTACTGGGATTGAACTGGGATGGACTGGGAGGGAACTGGGACAAACTGGGATGGACTGGGAGGGGATTTGAGGCCATTTTGGGGGTGCAAAAAGGGGCAAAAATGGTCAAAAACGGGGCAAAATCAGGATGGAAGGGGAGTTTTATACTGGTTTATACTGGTCTGTACTGGGAGGGCACTGGGAGGGAACTGGGACAAACTGGGAGGGGATTTTGGGGGAATTTGAGGGGATTTTGGGGCTCCAAAAGGGTCAAAAATGGGAAAAACTGGGATAAAAGGGGAGATTTTTATACTGGTTTCTACTGGTTTCGTACTGGTTTGAGACTGGTTGATACTGGTTTGTACTGGTTTATACTGGGAGGGAACTGGGACAAACTGGGAGGGGATTTGGGAGGATTTTAGGGCTGAAAAATGATGGAAAAATGCGATTTTTTCCTGGTTTTTTCCATTTTTTACTGGTTTGTACTGGTTTGTACTGGTTCATACTGGTTTGTACTGGTTCATACTGGTTTGTACTGGTTTTCCTCCAGGCCCTGCTCCGGGGGGGGCTCCTGGCCCTGCTCCTCCGGGGGCTCCTGGTCCCACTTTGTGCCGAAATTCGGCCGGAAAATCCCGAACCCGAGGAGAGCTGGGAGGGGGAGGGGCGGCCCTGCCCCCGCCACGGCGCCGCGCAGGTACCGGAATTCCCGGAATTCCCAAAATTCCCAAAATTCCCAAAATTCCCAAAAAAACCCCAAAGTTCTGAGACATTGCCCTGATTTTTTAGGGTTTTTTTCCCATTTTATTTGGATTTTTTTCTCTTTTTTTTCCCATTTTTTTCTGATTTTTTTTTCCCATTTTATTTGGATTTTTCCCCATTTTCCCCCATTTTATTTGGATTTTTTTCCCTCGTTTTTTCCTATTTTACTTGGAATTTTCCCCCTTTTTTTTCCCAATTTACTTGGAATTTTCCCCCATTTTTCCCCAATTTATTTGGAATTTTTTTCCCATTTTATTTGGAATTTTTCCCCTTTTTTCCCCAATTTATTTGGAATTTTTTCCCATTTTATTTGGAATTTCCCCCCTTTTTTTTCCCAATTTATTTGGAATTTTCCCCCGTTTTTCCCCAATTTATTTGGAATTTTTTCCCATTTTACTTGGAATTTTCCCCCATTTTTCCCCAATTTATTTGGAATTTTTTCCTATTTTATTTAGAATTTTTCCCCCTTTTTTTTCCCAATTTATTTGGAATTTTCCCCCGTTTTTCCCCAATTTATTTGGAATTTTTTCCCGTTTTACTTGGAATTTTCCCCCATTTTTTCCCATTTTATTTGGAATTTTTGCCCATTTTTTTTTAATTCTTTCCCGTTTTATTTGGAATTTTCTCCCCTTTTTCTTCCCATTTTGTTTGGATTTTTTTCCCGATTTTTATGATTTTTTCCAATTTTATTTGGAATTTTCCCCCTTTTTTTCCCATTTTATTTAGAATTTTTTCCCATTTTACTTGGAATTTTTTCCCATTTTATTTGGAATTTTTCCCATTTTATTTGGAATTTTTTCCCATTTTTTTTAGAATTTTTCCCTTTTTTTCCCAATTTATTTGGAATTTTTTTCCCCAGTTTTGGGCGATTTTTTCCCATTTTTTGTGATATTTTTTTCCCTTTTTTTTTTTGGATTTTTTCCCCATTTTAATTAAAACTTTTCTGGAATTTTCAATGGGATTTTGCCCAAATTTGGGATTTTTTCTCCATTTTCTCCCCTCAGGTTCTGGACGCTCTGGCCCAGGGGCTGCCCCCCGAAAAGCTGCTCAAGGAATTGGTGAGTTTTGGGGCAAAAAATCATAATTTTGGGAAAATTGGGAAATTTGGGAATTTTTGGGATTTTTTTTGGAGTTTTTTGAACTTTTTTTTGAGGAATTTTGGGGTTTTTTTCTGCCCTTTCAGGACCTTTTTTAGCAGGAATTTTGCAGATCCTGAGGGAAAATTTGGGGAGAATTTTGAAGATTTTGGGTTTGGGATAAATTTTTAAAACTTTGGAATTTTGGGGATTTTTGGGGAATTTTTTGGGAATTTTTTGGACTTTTTTTGAGGAATTTTGGGGTTTTTTTCTGCCCTTTCAGGACCTTTTTTGGCAGGAATTTGGGAAATCCTGAGGGAAAAATTGGGGAAAATTTGGGAGATTTTGAGTTTGAGTTAAATTTCTTAAATTTTGGAATTTTTATGAATTTTTTTTTTTTAGTTTTTGGGAATTTTTGGGGAATTTTTTCCCAATTTTTATTAATTTTTTTTTTGTGACATTTCAGGACCTTTTTTGGCCTAAATTTGACAGATCCGGAGGGAAAATTTGGGGAAATTTTGGGTTTGGGTTGAATTTCTTAAATTTTTGAATTTTGGGGATTTTTTTTTTTTAATTTTTGGAAATTTTTTGGGCTTTTTTTGAGGAATTTTGGGTTTTTTTCCTGACCCTTCAGGACCTTATTTTGTCAGGAATTTTGCAGATCCTGAGGGAAAATTTGAGGAAAATTTGGGGAATTTTGGGTTCAGAATGAATTTTTTAAATTTTGGAAATTTTAGGAATTTTGGGGAATTTTTTTGGAGATTTTTTTTTGAGGAATTTTTGGGATTTTTTCCTGCCCTTTCAGGACCTTTTTTGGGAGGAATTTTGCAGATCCTGAGGGAAAATTTGGTGAAAATTTCGAATATTTTGGGTTTCTGATAAATTTTAAATATTTGTCAATTTGGGGTCAATTTTTTGGGAATTTTTTCCAAATTTTCCCAATTTTTTTTTTTTTTCATTTTTAGCCTTTTTTTTCTTTACCCTTCCAGGACCATTTCAGGCAATTTCTCCCTCAGGGATCGAATTTTGGGCCAAAACTCCGCAATTTTACCTTTTTGATGACTAAAAACCAAAATTTTTCTCCGAAACTCCCAAAAATTTTTAATTTTCACCAATTTTGGGACTTTTCCCCCCATTTCCCATCAATTCCATTTTTTTTTCCACCTCCTTCTCATTATCACCCTTCCAGGACCTCCCTGTAGGAAAACCGCGATCATTTTGCGGGAAAACCTTGAAATTTTCGCTTTTTTTGCGGCGAATTTCCAACTTTTAGCAATTTTTACTTCTCCCTGTGCTACTTTTGGGTCGATTTTACCCGATTTTGGTTCATTTTTAACCGATTTCGCCTCATTTTTTCCCCCAATCCTCCTCCTGCCTCCTCTCTCAACTCCCGCTCCTCCCTCCCGTTTTTCCCCGTTTTTCCACCGATTTTCTCCCGGTTTTTTTTCCCCGCCTCCTCCCCGTCCCCTCCGCCCCCTCCCCCGTCTCGTTTTTGGGTGAAAATCCGGCGATTTTGGGGTCGGCGCTCGCCCGGAAGTTGCCGCTGCTGGAGGAGCCGGCGCGGGGCGGCGCCGCCGGCGGCCGCAAGGGGGCGCTGATGGCGCTGGCGGCGCTGGCGCGCGGCTGCGGCGCCGCCCTGCGGCAGCGGTGAGCGCCATATATGGGCAAAAGGGGGCGGGGCTTGGGCCCGGGGGCGGGGCTTGCTCCTTATATGGTCAAAATGGGCGGGGTTTTCACCTCATGCATAAAGTGGGCGGGGTTTTCAGCTCATATGCATAAAGTGGGCGTGGTTTTTGCTTCATATACATAAAGTGGGCGGGGTTTTCAGCTCATATACATAAAATAGGCAGGGTTTTCACCTCATATGCATAAAGTGGGCGGGGGTTTCACCTCATATGCATAATGTGGGCGGGGTTTTCACCTCATATGCATAAAATGGGCGGGGTTTTCACCTCATATGCATAAAGTGGGCGGGGTTTTCACCTCATATGCATAAAGTGGGCGGGGTTTTCACCTCATATGCATAAAATGGGCGGGGTTTTCACCTCATATGCATAAAGTGGGCGGGGTTTTTAGCTCATATGCATAAAGTGGGCGGGGTTTTCACCTCATATGCATAAAGTGGGCGGGGTTTTTGTCTTATATGCATAAAATGGGCGGGGTTTCAGCCTCATATGCATAAAGTGGGCGGGGTTTTCACCTCATATGCATAAAGTGGGTGGGGTTTCTGCCTCATATGCATAAAATAGGCGGGGTTTTCACCTCATATGCATAAAATAGGCGGGGTTTTCAGCTCATATGCATAATGTGGGCGGGGTTTTCACCTCATATGCATAAAATTGGCGGGATTTTCACCTCATATGCATAAAGTGGGCGTGGTTATTACCTTATTTGGTGAAAGGGGGCGGGGTCTCGGGGTGCTGGCGGGCTGTGGGCGGGGTTTAAAGGAAGGGGGCGTGGCTTAAACCGTTCCAATGCATTGTGGGCGGTGCTTGAGGCATTCAAATGAGTGGTGGGCGTGGCCTGCAGGTACCTGGGCGTGGTCCTGGGCGCCCTGCGGGCCGGGCTGGGAGACCCCGAGGGCTCCGTCCGGGGGGCGGCGGCCGCGGCGCTGAGGGAGCTGCGGGAGGAGATGGAGGTGCTGGTTTATACTGGTTTATACTGGTTTATACTGGTTTGGACTGGTTTGGACTGGGAGGGAATGGGAGGGGAAAAATGAGGGGGAAAATGGGGAAAATTGGGCAAAAAATGGGGGAAAAATGGGGGAAAAATTGGATTTTTAAGGGTTAAAAATGGGGGAAATGGGGATTTGGGGTTACTGGTTTGGACTGGTTTGGACTGGTTTATACTGGTTTATACTGGGAGGGATTTTTGGGTGAATTTGGGGGATTTTTGGGGTGAATTTTTGGGGTGAATTTTGGGGATTTTTGGAGGATTTTGGGGTGAATTTATGGGAGGATTTTGGGGTGAAATTTTTGGGATTTTTGGGTGAATTTTGGGGATTTTGGGGTTGGATTTTGGGGATTTTTGGGATGAATTTGGGGGATTTTTGGGTGAATTTGGGGGAATTTTTTGGGTGAATTTTGGGGTGAATTTTGGGGTGAATTTTGGGGATATTTGGGGTGGATGTTTGGGATTTTTTGGGTGAATTTTTAAGATTTTTGGGTTGGATTTTGGAGATTTTTGGGTGGATTTTGGGGATTTTTGGGTGAATTTTGGGGATTTTTGGATGAATTTTTTGAGGCTTTGGGGATGAATTTTGGGGTGAATTTTGGGGAATTTCTGGGGTGAATTTTGAGTCAAATTTTGGGATATTTTGGGTTGGACTTTGAGGATTTTTGAGTTGAATTTTGGAGTGAATTTTTTGGGCTTTGGGGATGAATTTTGGGGATTTTTGGGTGAATTTTTGGGGAATTTTGGGGATTTTTGGGTGAATTTTTGGGATTTTTGGGATGAATTTGGGGGATTTTTGGGTGAATTTTTGGGGATTTTTGGATCCATTTTTGGGGAATTTTGGGGATTTTTGGGTGAATTTGTGGGATTTTGGAGTTGGATTTTGGGGATTTTTGGGTGGATTTCGGGGTGAATTTTTTGGGCTTTGGGGATGAATTTTGGGGATTTTTGGGTGAATTTTTGGGATTTTTGGGGTTGGATTTTGGGGATTTTTGGGGTGAATTTTGGAGATTTTTGGGCTGAATTTTGGGAGATTTTTGGGGCGAATGTTGGGAAATTTTTGGGATAATTTGGGGGATTTTTGGGGTGAATTTTGGTGATTTTTGGGGTTGATTTTAAGGACCTTCCAAGTTGGATTTTGGGGATTTTTGGGCTGAATTTTTGGGGATTTTTGGGCTGAATTTTGGGTTTTTTGGGGCTATTCCGGCTGGGATTTTTTCCCAACTGGTTTTTACTGGTTTTTACTGGTTTTTACTGGTTTTTACTGGTTTTTACTGGTCGCAGGCGGAGCTGGCGCCGCTGGCGGCCGAGGCGCTGCCGCGGATTTTGGGGGAATTTTGGGAATTTCCAAATTCCCCCCAGCCCAAGGCCTGGTTCGTGCTGGAGACGCTGCTGGAGGCGCTGGGTGAGCCAAATTTGGGGTGAATTCCGGGGATTTTGGGCAAAAACGGGGAATTTGGGGGAAAAAATGGGAAAAAAAGGGGGAAATAATTTAAATTTTGGAGGAATTTGGGGGGAAAAAATGGAAAAAAATCAGATTTTGGGGAAATATTTAAATTTTGGGGAAATATTTAAATTTTGGGGGAAAAAAATGGAAAAGATTGGGGGAATGGGGGAAAAGATTTTAAGTTTTGGAAGAATTTGGGGGAAAATTGGGAAGAAATTGGGGAAATTTGGGGGGAAATTGGGAAGAAAAATGGGGGGAAATTGGGGAAAAAATTTTAAATTTTGGAAGAATTTTGGGGAAAAAAATGGAAAAAAAATTGGGGAAATGTGGGGGGAGAATTGGGAAGAAAAATGGGAAATTGGGGAAAATTTGGGGGAAAAAAAATAAAATTTGGGGAATAAATGGAAAAAATTGTGGAAATTTGGGGGAAAACTGGGAAAATATGAGGAAAATTTGGGTAAAAAATGGAAAAAATCAGGAAAGTTTGGAGAAATTTGAGAAAAATTGGGAAATTTTGGGGGGAAATCGGGAAAAATGGGGTAATTTGGGGGAAAATATTATATTTTGGGAAAATTTGGGGGGAAATGGAAAAAAATTGGGGGGATTGGGGGAAAAATTAAATGTTGGAAAAAATGGGGGAAAAATAGGAAAAATTGGGGGAATTTGGAAAAATAGAAAAAATGGGGATATTTGGGTAAAATTGGGAAAATTTGGGGGAAAATTGTAAAAAAAATGAGGAAAATTTGGGTAAAAAAATGGAAAAAAGGGGAAATTTGGGGGAAATTTGGGTAAAATTGGGAATAATGGGGAAAAATTGGGACAAAATGGGGTAATTTGGAGAAAAAATATAAAAAATATATAAAAAAATATAAAATATATAAAATATATAAAATTTGGAAAATTTTGCGGGGGAAAATGGAATAAATAAGTGGAATTTGGTGAAAAAATGTAAATTTTGGAAGAATTTGGGGAAAAATGGAAAAAAAATGGGGAGATTTGGGGGAAAACGGGGAAAATTTGGGCAAAAATTGTGAGAATTTGAAAATTGGAAAAGAATGAGAAAAATTTGGGTAAAAAGTGGAAAAAATGGGGGAATTTGAGTAAAATTGGGAAATAATGGGGGAAATTTTGGCTAAAATTGGGAAAATTTGGGGAGGATTGGGAAAATAGGTGGAAAATATTAAAAATTTGGGAAAAATTGGGGGAAATTTGGAAAAAATGGGGAAGTTTTGGCAAAAATGGGAAAATTTGGGGGAAAAAAATTTAAAATTCGGAAAAATTTGGGGAAAAATGGAAAAAGAAAAAGGGGAAATTTGGGGGGAAATGGGGAACATTTGGGAAAAAATTGTGGAAATTTGAAAATTGGAAAAAAATGAGGAAAATCTGGGGGAAAATTGGTTATTTTTGATGAATTTTGGGTGAATTTTTGGGGGAATTTTTGGGGGAATTTTGATGAATTTTTGGGTGAATTTTTGGGTGAATTTTGATGAATTTTTTGGGTGAATTTTGGGTGAATGTTGATGATTTTTTTGGGCGAATTTTTAGGTGAATGTTGATGATTTTTTGGGTGAATTTCGTTGGATTTTTGGGTGAATTTTTGGGTGAATTTTGATGATTTTTTGGGTGAATTTTTGGGTGAATTTTGATGAATTTTTTGGGTGAATTTCGTTGGATTTTTGGGTGAATTTTGATGAATTTTTGGGTGAATTTTTGGGTGAATTTTGATGAATTTTTTGGGTGAATTTTTGGGTGAATTTCGCTGAAGTTTTTGGGTGAATTTTTGAGTGAATTTTTGGGTGAATTATGATGATTTTTTGGGTGAATTTTTGGGTGAATGTTGATGATTTTTTGGGTGAATTTTGGGTGAATTTTGCTGAATTTTTTGGGTGAATTTTGATGAATTTTTTGGGTGAATTTTGATGAATTTCTGGGTGAATTTTGATGATTTTTTTGGGTGAATTTTTGGGCGAATTTTTGGGTGAATTTTGCTGAATTTTTTTGGGTGAATTTTGATGAATTTTTTTGGTGAATTTTGATGAATTTCTGGGTGAATTTCGCTGAATTTTTTGGCTGAATTTTGCTGAATTTTTTGGGTGAATTTTGCTGAATTTTTTGGGTGAATTTTGATGAATTTCTGGGTGAATTTTGATGAATTTTTGGGTAAATTTTGCTGAATTTTTTGGGTGAATTTTGCTGAATTTTTTGGGGTGAATTTTGCTGAATTTTTTGGGTGAATTTTGATGAATTTTTGGGTGAATTTTTTGGGTGAATTTTGCTGAATTTTTTGGGTGAATTTTGCTGAATTTTTTGGCTGAATTTTGCTGAATTTTTGGGTGAATTTTGATGAATTTTGGGGTGAATTTTGGATGAATTTTTTGGCTGAATTTTGATTAATTTTTGGGTGAATTTTGCTGAATTTTTTGGCTGAATTTTGCTGAATTTTTGGCTGAATTTTGCTGAATTTTTTGGGTGAATTTTGCTGAATTTTTTGGGGTGAATTTTGCTGAATTTTTTGGCTGAATTTTGATTAATTTTTGGGTGAATTTTGCTGAATTTTTGGGTGAATTTTGCTGAATTTTTTGGTTGATTTTTGATTAATTTTTTGGCTGAATTTTGCTGAATTTTTGGGTGAATTTTGATGAATTTTTTGGGTGAATTCCCTTGGATTTTTGGGTGAATTTCCTTGGATTTTTGGGTGAATTCCCTTGGATTTTTGGGTGAATTTCCTTGGATTTTTGGGTGAATTTCCTTGGATTTTTGGGTGAATTTCCTTGAATTTCCGTTGATTTCGGGCGGGTTTTTTGCGCCTCTCTGTCCCTTTTCGCTCCTGGTGAGTTAATGACCGTTAATTAGCGTTAATTACTGTTAATTGCCCGCAGGTGAGGGGGTGCAGCCCTGGCTGCCCCAGGTGCTCCCCAGGATTTCGGCGGCTCTGGAGGCGCCGCGGGGCCGGGAGCTGGCGCTGAGCGCGCTGCACGCGCTGGGTGAGCCCAAAAACGCCCCAAATCACCCCAAAATTATCCCCAAATCACCCCAAAATTATCCCCAAATCCGCCCAAAAATATCCCAAAATCACCCCAAAAATATCCAAAAATTATCCCAAAATTATCCCAAAATTATCCCCAAATCACACCAAAAAACTGCCCAAAATCACCCCAAAAAACTGCCCCAAAACTGCCCAAAAT